TAGACTGAAGAACAAAAGGACAGCAACTTGTCTGTTCCCCTTCCCCCAATTCCCCAGCGCTGTTCCCATCCCCCAATTCCCCAATTAAAAAAATATATATATATTAAAAAAACAACAGCAAAAAAACAAAAAAACCATGCTAAAAGAATTCACCACAATTATCAAGGAATCTGACATTTTTTTATAGTGCATTTTTCAACTTCTGCAAAAATATATAACTTTTTTCTTCTTTTCTATTTTTTTCCAGGGTCTCAATAATTCTTAATACTGGATTAGGCCTAGAAATAAGTAGGTACAAATTATAATATCTATTATAAACATTCTGTTAGCTTTTCAGTTTTTGAGACATTCTAAGGATGTCTCTGGGAATCCCAACATTGAGACACAGTTTGATAATCACTAATTAATGACAACTCTTAATTTTACAAATCTATTAATGCAAACAAAAATAACAAAAACACCAATTAGATGTTACTAATTAGCAAATTATCTTACTTTCCCAGCCAAGGTTTCTTTGTGAGTGGTCCTTCCAAACCACCCACAGCTCTTTTTCGGCTATCTGGTTCAAGAACTACTCTGGTTATGTTGCTATTAATTGAAACAGGAACTGGCGGTTCAGTCTGGATGACAATGTTAGCAGCTGTTGGAAACAAAAATTAATATTACTGACAAGGCATTACATTTGGGGAATTTCAAACGATTAAAATATTTAGTCCAAAAGCTAAAAAGCACTGTGAATAACACCCACTACCATTTCCTTTTCAGAAACACCTAAGCAACAAGAAAAACTTATCAACGGCCTCCTTTTTCTCCTTTTTAAAATATACAATATCCAAGTTTAAAAAGTAATAGGCAACCCCAATGTAACAAATGATTCAGACAAGAATCATCAATGGATTAAAAAAAAAAAGATCAGTGAAAGGCTGTTAGAGAATAAGATATTTATCTGATGCCGAAGTATCACTCCACAAATTATTTACTTTACAATGGAGAGATTGCATAATTATCACCTTAGGTAAACAATCAAACTTAGCACCATAGATAGAGTAAAATTATTTGTCTCCTGATGTAATTCAATGAATTCACCTGGGTAGGGTATTGTTATGGAATTATAATTTTCTTATATATGGCAATGATATTGTGCTTAACAGGACTATTCTTATTTTTAGAGGTGAAGAAGTGTCACAATCTCTACAATTTCAAGTGGTTCAAGAAAAAAAAATGTGGGAGGGCGAAGATGGTAATTATCAATAAAAAGGGGGCCAAATACATGGTGATGGAAGACTACTAGAATTCGGGGGATAAGCACACAATGCAATATACTGATGATATATTATAGAATTGTACATGTGAAACATATAATTCTACTAACCAATGTCACCCCAATAAATTTAACTTAAAAAGAAAAAAATATGAGGAGGGGGGAGGAAGGGAGAGAGAAGTGTGCAGCAACATAAGCAAGCATTTGTGCCCAAAGGTGACAAAATGTTAACAACTGGTGAATCTAAGTGAAGGTATTTAGTTGTTTATTGCACTTCTTTGATTTTCTCTAGGTTTAAAGTTTTTTAACTTAAAAGTTGACCGAAGGGCCGGCCAAGTGGCACGTTAGTTAAGAAATGGCTTGGGATGCCAGAGGACCCCGGTTTGGATCCCACATGAGCCAGTGACACTGCCCTCTACAGCTAAGATGCTGAACAACAGCTCAACCTGGAGCTGGGCTGCCGGGCGACGGCGTAGGCTGCAGTCGGCTGCCATGGGCTACCGTGTGTAGCCAGCAGCCAGCATGAGAGGCCCTCAAGCCGCCGTGAGCGGCTGTCCAGAGGCCAGTGACTGATCTGCCTCGCCCGGGAAGAGCGCAATGATGGTGCCAGCTTGGGCCAGTGAAGCANAATATGGCCTCAGGGATAGAAAAGACAGTCTGGGGAATATAATCAATAATGTTGTAAATATTTTTTAAGGGGCCAGATGGACTCATGTCTTGTTAAGGAGACCACTTCATAGTCGTGTAGAGGCCTGACCAGCGCACTGTATTTCTGAAGCTGATGTTGAATAATAATATATGTCAACTATAATTATATATACATATAGTCACGGGACATGGAGTAGAGTGTGGCAATGGAGTCAATGGAATTGTAATAGATAAGCATGATATCAGGGGTGGGAGGGCAGTGGATGGGGGAGGGGAGTTGTTTCTGTGCGAAGGGTGAAAAGGATAACTATTGCATTGTTCTGTACACCTGAAACTAACAATAAAAAAAAATGCAGACATGGAAACAAAAACCAAACGGCAGGGAAAAAAAAAGAATCACCTGGAGAACTCATTAAAACACAGATTCCTGGGCCCCACTCAGCGATTCTGACTCAGTAATTGGGGTGAGGCCCAAGAAATTCCCCCCAGGACATCAGATGCTGCTTGTCTGCAGAACAACTGAATGGCTCTGATGCAGAAGCCCAAAGGACCACAGACTGAGAAACACTGATCCAGAGGGTGGGACTAGAGGCCCTCGAATTCCCCGTGAACCAGCAGATTACCTTCTGGATACCTCCATGTACCGTTGAGGAAGACGACTGCTGATGAAGGTGCTGTGGCAGGTGATGGTGCTGCTGTGACAGGTGACTAAGTGTTTGCTGTTGCTGCAGGAGCAGCTGTGCTGGGGACTGTAGTGCTGGTTGCTCATTATTTTCTCTGTGCCACAGGACTCGGATAAATCGGTTGTTTAGAACTGCTTCAGTGCTGGAAATGGCTTTCCTGGCCTCCTCATTGGTGAGATACTGGATGAGGGCTGCTTCTGGATCTCCCTTAAAAGCAACCTGTAAGAAAAAACAAAAGCAACGAAAACAACAACAACAAAAACACAGATATTAACCAATAGTTAAATGCAAATAAATTATTGATAAAGACTTCAGAAGTAGAAAACAGCCTGCTAAAATCCATTGTGAATCCTTTGTTAAATTCTGTCCCCTAAAAGATGATATGCCTATTTCAAAATTATATATGGAAAATGTTAGATTATTTAATAAGTAATCCTACTAATGTTACCTAACCACTTGGGGAAGAGTTATCAGATCCCTCCCTCATATCTTACCTTCAAATGAACTCCAGAAAAAAATATTTTTACAATAACAAAATACACCATAAAAACCCAGAAGGAAAAAGGTATCTGTATTACCTCAGGCTTTGGAAAGCTTTTGTGTGTATATACCTATAAAGATAGGGGCCATAGGTACAGCAGATTTGACCACGTAAAACCTTTGTCAGTCCAAACAAAGGAAATGACAAAGGAAAAAGTATTTTTAATATATATGACAAGCAATGGCTTGGAAAAGCATTATGATAAATGCCTTCATAAAAAATGGACAAAGACAATGGATAGGTATATCCAAAAGAACTGCAAATGCTATATAAATTAGAGTATACATAGTAATAAAAAAAGTAAATTATAGCAAGTATAATTTTTCGCTTATGAAACTCATTTAAAAAATTTAATGGATCCATATTACAGTGTTGATGAGGTTTCAGACACTGCATTTGGGAGTACCAATCGCATAACCCTTTTGGAGAACAATCCGTTAGTTCAAATAGTCTTAAAATTACCTTTAATTCGGCAATGCATTACAAAAAATAATGAAGTTTATCCACAAGGAGGCTTACCACAACACTGTTTTTATATAAAATAGAAACAACATAAATTTCCAACAACAAAGAATAGTTAAATAAGTCATGGCCTATTGCTACAGACTGAATTATGTGTCACACACATACCCGGACTCATATGTTGAGGCCTTACCCCCTAACATGACTACTTGGAGATAAGGTTTCCGGATAGGCTTTTAGGAGGTACTAGAGGTTAAACGAGGTCATAAAGGTAGATAGATAGGACTGGTGGCCTTACAGGAAGATGTCTCTCTCCAGCTCTGCCTCTCCCTCTCTCCCCTTCCACCATGTGAGGGCATAGCAGAGAGGTAGCCATGTACAAGCCAGAAAGAGTCCTCACCAGGAACCATTTTGGCCAGCACCTTGATCTTGGATTTCTCAAAAATAAATGTTTGTTGTTTAAGCTACCCAATCTATGGGATTTGTTATGGCAGTGTGAGCACTAATATACCCATCTACACCAAGCCATCTAATTTTTCTAAATGCCATTAAGAATAATGGCCTAGGAAAAATGTAAGAAAGAAAAAAAGGTAGAGACATTTGGTATGTTCACATCTTTTGCATTTCTTTAAGTGTGTGAAGCATTTTTTTAAAAGAGAAAAAGTGTGTGTGTATTCTTCCATACAAATAAATACATTATGTCTTTTCATCAAAAGATTTATAATTGTTATTGCTAAGTGCTGAGATTTCTATGATTTGTTTTACTTTTGTTTAATGTATTTCCAATTATCTGTAAAATTAAACATGTACTACTTCCGTACTCAGGGAAAAAATGGCTTAAAAATCTCTCAGAAACAACGCTTTGGATCAATTCTTTAAAATACCAAGTTCCCCAATACGACCTTCTTAAACTCAGTGATAAAAATCATATTTTGGTTTGATGGAAACACTAAGTGTCCGAGGTAACTGAACGAAATTCCAGCTTAAAGAGGCCGTCAAACATCCTCCCTCGATTACAGCATAACACCCAACCACGAATTCGTGCTTTCAAATATCTAACAAGTAGGCAGCAATACAAAAGCTACAATTTGATGTTAGGTAACACGTAGAGCTGCCTAAAATTCTCAAGATTAGAACCATTTTTAACCAATAACTACTTTACTACAAACATAAAAGTCAGCCAGTAGACAACATTACAATATTAGAAATTATTAAGAATCTTGTCTACCTATTTAGAATACTAAAGCAGGTGATAAAGTCATCTGTCCAGAGATAGAACTATAAAAATACAGGAACTAGCCCGATGTCATTCAGGAAGATGTTGCAGAAAAGAACCAAATCAATTCAAAGGAATAGCATAACAATTCCATCATTAATTTGAGTATACAGATATACAGTGGAGTTTGAAACTCTGAGCAGATATATCACTGGCTCATTTAAGCAAAGCGAGCTGGTAGGCATATTTGCAAAGATGCATAAAACACACGGATTCTGTCACCAACACAGCCATATTTACCTGGATGTTAACAATAGTTCCAAATTTGCTGAAGTGTTCATTGAGCTTGGTAATGTTGTTCAATTCCTGAGGGATTTTCTTGACTTCTAATTTGGTATTTGTATACTGATTCTTTCTCAAGAATCCTGGTTTACTCTGATTGTTATTCCCTTGTCTGAAAGAAATATTAATAAGTCTTGGTTAATTATCTCACCTTATGCCTAGCCAAGAGATACATAAGCAAAGTATGTAAGGTTATATTAATGTGTCTTTTGTAAGCACTTAACATTCTTCAGAAATTAGTAAATAATTTTATCATCCTTATTACACGGGAACAGAACATGAAAGAAGACTGAATGGCAAGTGATCACAAAAAGAAGAGGCCCAACTGAGATTAAAAAACCATGCTAGGGCCGGCCGAGTGACGCGATGGTTAAGAACTGGCTTGGGATGCCAGAGGGCCCCGGTTCAAATCCCACGTATGAGGGCCATTGACACTGCCCTCCACAGCTAAGATGTTAAACAGCTCAACCTGGAGCTGGGCTGCCCTGAGTCGCCGGCTACGGCGTAGGCTGCAGCCCCTGCTGCAGTGGGTTGCCATGTTCTACTGTGTGCTGTGTGTAGTGAACGGCCGTCCAGAAGCCGGCGACTCATGTGCCTCGCCCGGGAAGAGCGCAATGATGGTGCCAACTTGGGCCAGTGAAGCAACATCCTCCACACACTAGACTGAAGAACAAAAGAACAGCGACTTGTCTGTTCCCCATCCCCCAATTCCCCAGTGCTGTTCCCATCCCCTCAATTCCCCAATAAAAAAAATCTTAAGGGCCGGCCGAGTGGCGCGATGGTTAAGAACT